ATGTACCTTTGTACTATTTAGCATGTCATTTGACGGTAACAAGAGCAAATTCAATTTAAATCTATTAAATACATTCTAGCGTGTCTCAGTCCTTTACCCACAAAAGCAGCTATAACTTTTTTTTTCTATTCAAAACAGTAAGTGTGGCACCTTTCTGAAATCTTTATTAAATGGGCAATTTTTTTATGTAATGTAAAGTTATAGCTCAATACATTTTTTTTTTACCCGATATAGTCAAAGTTGGGGAAGAAAATATCAAAAAGTTATAAATCCAGAAATACTCCTAATTTTATGATGGTTCCTTAATATATTTCAACTACATTGCATTTGAGTATGGAGAGGCAACTATCTGGAAGTATTTTACATAAAAAATTTACTAAGTATTGCCCGGTTTGTAGTTTCAGTTAAAGAAAACACATGAAAAGGCACGATTTTTTTCTCGAACGCTGGATTCTTATATATCAGTAGAAGCTCAGTATTTCAACTCAAAATACGACTTGTGCACTGCTACGCTTTATAACCAACAGTTAGAGGTATTAATGTAAACCTATATCTACTTCTACTTAAATTTTTTTTTCCTTCCAGTTTTATATGATTGTAATATCTCCAACAAGGTTCAATCAATAGCTTACGATAGTGCAGCAGTTATGAATGCTGTGGCACAGAAACTATTAAATATATGTGATATTATTAAGTGCAACGCTCATCTTCTGCAGTTGGTTGTTAAGGATGCAATTCACAGTATATACAGTAATAAACCTTTTCGCAGGTTTTCACCAATTGGTCCCCGAGGAATACTTTTGGGTTGTGTGCAGAGTTTTCGTTTTTCACGCACGGCAACACTTACTGTGGGGAATTTCGCCTCATGATTAGAAAAAGTTCTTTTTGTGGATAAAATATACATAATTTTGTGTTATTTATGTATAAGCAAAATGTAGGTTAAGTATAGTATCAATGCTTAATTAAGAATAATATCAGTAGTTAAGTACATAATTAACGCTTGTGTTTCTATAAACTGGAAAATCACATCGTATTTTTTATTAAAAGCGTGAATTTTGTGAATTTATCAAGGGAAACTCTAAATTTCTGAATTTATTTAAGTCTTTATTCCAAAAAAACACAAGGCTTATTTAGTTATAGAGACTCCAATGCCTGCCAGCGCATCCGCCCAGACAGCTCATTAAGCACACCCAAGATTGAGCGGAACTCCTCAAAAATACTTAACATCAAAGTATATAATGTCACATATATGAATCATACACACATACAATACCAATTGCTATGAATTGCTACCGTAAAATTTCAGGACACGCATTTGCTTGGAGACTTCGTTGGTCATGGTGGTCATAAGTTCAGCCAACACATTCAATGGTCCATTGCCCGGAGCTGCTCCAACATGATGAGTAGATTTTAGTGCCATTTAGCAATTATCCCTTTAAAATTATAAGAAAAGTGTTTGTTTACCAAATTACCTGTGCCACTCTGCCATGGTACGGTTGTTTCTCCCTTTCATACCACAGTAATTCTGTATGCAACTCTGAATCAGCAAAATTCATGCTTCTTCTCATTATCAACCCCGATCAGATTTTACCCCCGATGACTACTCAAAAAGGTTTATTACTGTATATACTGCGATGCAATTGGAGCCGTTCCACAGATTACTTAAATATACAAGAAAGCCAAAAATGTGTCTTCTTATTTCCATCGCTCAAGCGTGGCCAAAAATACTCTTTCAGTTCGCTATGTACAGTAGGGAACAGCGTTGCCGCTTTGCTAATTTTTAACCAAAATTGGTAATTCTTTTTTCTTTATTCATCAAGTTTGGTAATTTGGTAATTTTTTATTCAATTTGGTATCTTTTTTAATTCTGTTTTACATGTCAAATAGGTCAATATTGGTTCTGATTCCACATTAGTAAGTAGACCGTAAGCGTTTCCTTTTATAGAAATACCAGGTAATCCTGAGAGTTTCGCAAGGCGAAAGTTGTTCCAGCGTTCCTTGGCTACTAGAATGGTGTGTTCTTTAACAAACGGCTTGAAAGTGGCTCTTGCTAAGTATATCCACCGTGTCCTCTCCTGGAAGGTTTGGGGTGGTACTACCTTTCCCTGTCAGTTCGTCAGCTTTTCAATTACAATACGTATGTTCTCGTTCAAAAAGCTACGGCATTCAGCGGGGCTTCAATCTGTCTATGTGTGAGTCGAAAGCTTTCCTTCGAGCGTTGAATGTTTGATATATTTTCTTGTCACTTGTTTACATACAGTGGTCGAAAAAATTATAGCCGCACCATATTTTGAAAAGTTTTAAGATATTATTTTTTTAGTAATTTAATTTTGGTTATTTTTTATAATAATTTTGTTCTTTCTTTAACAGAGTTCTAACAAATTCAAACTTTGTTCAATATTTAAAAAAATTCAACAAACTTTCGTAAAAATTTTAGGTTAATGGAGCGCTGTTTGCCTGAAAAGCTTGGTATCTTCGGATATACATATGTACAGACTAGAGATGTTGCGAATGTGGAATTTTTGACATCCGCGGATGAGAATGCGGATGCGGATGTTTATAAGGTAACATACGCGGATGCGGATGCGAATGCGGATGTCATGTATTTTTAATAAATAATTTAGGTGTGTAAATTAGGTGACTTAGGTAAATAAAAAATGGAAAGATTAGCAATTTTTAATAATCTGCCTTATCCTGAGTTTTGCCCGAAAATTTATATTCCGCCCATAGTAAATACATGAAAACCAAAAGTGAAAAGTGAACGGGCTCGGGAAAAATGAAACTCATGATAAGACTGAATGTTTTTTTAGTACTTGAATTTAAAAATTGGAACACTGTATTTCATAAAAACTTTTTAAAGGGTCGTAAATCAAACCGGCGCCACTATATAACTACTCGCTCGAGGCGACAACCTTGAAAAGCTTGAAACTTGGCAAAATGTAAATTCTTTTCGATTGACACTGCATAAGTTGAGAGGACTTGCAGTTATATTTATTTATTTTTATTGCGGTGCAGTAATTACTTTCTGAGAATATCATCCGGCCCCCAAATGTCGGATGTATCCTCCTGACTTTAATCTTCACAATCTAGCATCATGGCACGATCGTTGTTTAAACACCGTTGTGTTCCAAAGAATTCTTAATTCTCATTCTTTTGGTTGTTTCGGAATTTGGTGAACCTGTCACGTCATCAGCGTTTTTCGATTTTAGTTTTTGTAACTTATTTTTAATGCTTTCTTCTGTGACTGGTGAGATATACGTGTTATCAGTGCACTTGCATAATATTCTAGGGACCGAAAATAACAGTTATTTTTTTCGAGTTAAATTTGGCCTAATATTTTTTATTCCGAAATAAACGTCCTTTCCGGATAATAAACAAAGCGCTTATCCAAATATAACAGATTTGCTATCGTATGAAAGAGGACTAAAATAGCTTTTAAACAGAAAAAGTGAACGAAGATTACAACCTCAATTTATAATTTTTTTTTATAATCTAATACTAAAGAAATTCATATAAATACATACCTGACCCATATATGTAATACTTCTATATAAGCTACCCAGCAGAAAAAAATTATCAATTGATAAAAAATAACCTACTTGTAGTTAGCTTTTATGCGGGATTTCTATAAAATATATAACTTCTGGTTAGCTACAAAAAGCTAACTTGAAACAAATGGACAAGTAATGCAGGAGCAAAGCTCGAGATTGTTTTCTTTAAACGAGTTTCAATTTAAAAATCCTGCACTTCGCAAATACTTTTTCGAATTGAGTACAAATAAAAGGGAGATCGAAATTTCATATTATCATTTTGAAGTTATGTCTGACGGAGTGGACCTGCAGCAGAATATTAACACGAATATGAAATGTAATAAAATAAATAAAGTAAATAAAAAAAATAAAAAAATAAAAAAAAATATTTTGTTTTTCCTATTGATATTTTATGTCCAAAAGTAGTTAATTACAAGCTAGTTACATCAAATGCGGCGTGCCCCTGCGTAAGCCCGTGCGTAAGGGCCGGAGTATTTGCTGTCAGCACGAACTCGTGCGTGCATGGGTGTTCAGTAAAATTTCATAAAAGCACGAATAAGCACGAAAAAGCCCGTTGTTAATACTACAAATTTAGATAAGCTTTTGTTTTTATACGAAAAAAAATAAAAAATTGTACGTATTAAAACTCTTTTGATAAGAGAAAAGCAAAAAAAGAAATATTTGGAAACCGATAGCTAAATTAAAATACTTAGTAGTTTTGTTTTCATATCTGTACATAAAATACTTTCCAGTTCTTCTACTTCCCGGAAAATATATGTATTATAAAAAGCATTGATGTGAGAAATTGATTCGCTCAAATAAATATACATATATACATAAACACAAAATTAAAAATATATACATATGTATACACACAATAAAAGTTGGCTCTTTATTTCCGGGCTGGGACGTGTCCTGTCGTGCCGGGCCGGGCCCTCCTAAAATTCTTAACGTGCAGGCTCGTGCGTGTTTTTGAAAGTTGATTTTGCACTCGTTCCGGGCCGGGCCTGAAAATTTAGGCCCGTGCCCATCTCTAATCTGTACTGCCAATATAGCAATATTACATATATGACCTGACCCAAGGGTTGTTCTATGGTTATTAATTAACCTTTTTTTATTGAAATATTTTTCAATATGTGGCTTTCCTCGTTTAGACATTTCAGTTTTAAAGCTATTTAAGTCCTCTTTCATTTGATACCAAACTTGTTTGATTTGGATAAGCGATCTGTTTATTATCCGGAGGGGACATTTATTTCGAAATAAAAATATTTGGCCAAGTTTAACTCGTAAAACAACTGTAATTTTCGGTCCCTTCAATATTCGCATTCGCAAAAGATCCGCATTGATTTTTGGGAATGCGAAAGCGAATGTTAAAATTAATGCGGAAGCTCCGCGGCTGCGAATGCGAATATTCGCAACAACCCTGGTACAGACATATCGAGCCCTAACTGCCAAAACAACGTAAACGAAATTTTTTTCAAAATTTTCTTTTCGATGCTCTAGGAACATTTCCGCATCAAAAATAAATTTTTTTAAAAATGTCGGTAACGTTATTTTGGCGGTTAGGGCTCGATATGTATGTTTGTACAGTTCTGCACATAAAATAAGTTTGGTAATTTTTGGTTGAATTTGGTAACATTTTCCGAGGATTTTGCTAAAAGATAAAAAAATTTTGGTTCTGGCAAAATTTCTTTTAGTTTCACTTTTATTTCAACATATCTTGATTAAAAGAAAAATACTGATAAAAATAAAATTTTTCATAAAAACAGGATTGGAATATTAAAATTCCTGCTCTTATTTTTTTTGTTTATATGATAGCACGGCCGCGTAATCATAGCCAACTTATGTACAGTAGCCAACTTATGTACAGTAGCGGAAAAAATTATAGCCTCATCAAATTTTGACAAGTTTTAAAATATTATTTTTGTTGTTATTTAATTTCGGTTAGTTTTTTATAGTTCGTTCTTTACCAACATGCGTATAAATACAGCTTTAAAGGCAGTGTCACACGATTGGGTATTTGCCAAAATTTTGTGCAAATCGTATCCCATTTGTTTGAGCACCCAAAATATTTTTCACTATCCCAATCACGAAAATTAATTTATTGAAAATTTTCAATAGAACATCGCTCTATTGTACCAATCTTTTGACTACAAAAAAAATTTCCAATTTTTTTTACCAATAGCCTAATAAAAAAATTTACAAATCTGTACAAATGTACCAATCGAGTGACGCTGCCTAAAAATTTATGCAATTTAAAAAAAAAATCTACAAATTTTCGTTAAAATTTCGAGTTTTTTAATTAAATTTTGAGTATGCAGTTTTGTAGCCCACTGAATTCTAGTAGAATAAAGTACACGTTTCAAATGGCTAAAAATGTCGATTGATTTTTTAGAATTTTTTATGTTCGAAATTCGTACGAACGTTTGTTGAATTTTTTTTGAATATTGCACAAATGAGTAGTCCACTTGCAAACAGCGTTTTGTGATTTTATAAAAGTGAGCCATAAATTAAAAAAACCGTCTACAACAACAAGTAACATCCAAATTGTATATTTCTCTTTATTATCTGAAAATTTGGATAAACAAGAGCCTAATAACATTAAAAAACAATATCGCAGTGTGGTAGTTTTTGCAAATTTTATATATAAAAATTGATTATAGCGAGTTTTCATACAGTAACTTTTACATAGCTATCTTTTTTAGCTTTTCGCGTTCAGAACACCTACATCCCCCCCTAAATACGACCTTGGTTACAACAGTGCTATGTAGCGCAAAAACTGTACCGATGTCTTTTGTCTGTCCTCTAATAAATCGGTTTACTCAAAATCATATATCAGCATCATCTACTGATGGAATAAATGAAAAATTATTTAAAGAATGTGCCACAAAATCTTTTTTCAAAAGATTTAACATTGGAAACAGTTGCTTCTTTTGTAGCAAAATTTTTGGATCCACGGTATAAAAATTTATATGGCGAAGATGTTAAAACAAAAACCATAATTCACGAGTTTGTAAGAAACTATTTAGAATAGGAGAAATCAACAAATGTGCCAGAGGCCAATGTAGAATCCATGGATTTGGAATTTTTTGTTTGACGATGACACGTTGCTCAACGACGTGACGTCGCAGTTAGATTTATATATTGCAGAACCACAAGTTGGTCATAATATTGATCAAATAACACAAGCGTTATCTATGTATTTTAGTAACTTCAGCTGAGTCAGAGCGTATATTTTCTATTGGTGGAAACATTGTCTCAACGAAGAAGCTGTCTACTGCCACAAAATGTACACCATCTCACATTTTTATGCCATAGACGTTTCTTAAAAGAAGTTAAGATATTATAGGGTTTTCAATATTGATGTTTTTAAAAAACTATGGTATCCATATAAATATATTTACATTTATGGCATCCATATAAATATATTTACATTTATGTTGTATTTCATCCTTTAAAATAGAAATAAATGGTTCTTGAATATGGAAATAACATATTTTGGCAATTCACAATGTGTCTTACACTGAGGGAAATAATGCATAGTAAAAATGAATACTTTATATTTGATTATCGTTTAAAAATATTCGTATTTAAAAATAATATTTTCATACAAAATTTATTACGCACGTATTTGACTGTTCACATCTGTGGACGTATATGTATGTGTACATACCCTGCAGGGAAAACGCGGACTAGTGAATCAAATTTCTAGTTCCGTACTAGATCCCCACCAGTCCAAAATCGGCGAAAAGTGGTACTTTTAATATACTAATTTTTTCAGTTTTTTTTTCACTAGAAATCGATATCTGAAGTGACGACTTTAGAAATGGTTCGGAACTATAGAAAAAGGGATGCAGAACGAACTAGATCTTATTTGTCGAATTTAGAACAAGTTCGGAACTATCGAATAAGGGATGCAGCGGGGGGCTTGTTTACTTTACATAGATATGTGTTCGGAGGTTTTTTCGTTCAAATACGCTTCTATTCTGCGCTTCGCAGATGCTGTTTCATAGCCTGGTAATACAAAACTAAAATTTGTGTTAACATTTCAATTTTTTTTAGTATTTTTCGCCAGAAATCTATATCTAAAGTGACGAATTTAGAAATGGTTCGGAACTATAGAAAAAGGGATGCAGAACGAACTAGATCTTATTTGTCGAATTTAGAACTAGTTCGGAACTATCGAATAAGGGATGCAGCGGGGGGCTTGTTTACTTTACATAGATATGTGTTCGGCGGCTTTTTCGTTCAAATACGCTTCTATTCTGCGCTTCGCAGATGCTGTTTCATAGCCTGGTAATACAAAACTAAAATTTGTGTTAACATTTCAATTTTTTTTAGTTTTTTTCGCCAGAAATCTATATCTACAGTGACGAATTTAGAAATGGTTCGGAACTATAGAAAAAGGGATGCAGAACGAACTAGATCCTATTTGTCGAATTTAGAACTATTTCGGAACTATCGAATAAGGGATGCAGCGGGGGGCTTGTTTACTTTACATAGATATGTGTTCGGCGGCTTTTTCATTCAAATACGCTTCTATTCTGCGCTTCGCAGATGCTTTTTCATAGCTTGGTAATACAAAATAAAATTTGTGTTAACATTTCAACATCTTGGGACCGTCTGAAATCTAAGAAGCGAGCACCTCTGCAAACTCAGCTACAGCTAAAGGTATGTAAACGTACATTTCTTAAAATTTCAAAACGAAAACTCCTTTCTTCCAAAATAACTTAAAAGCGCACACACGGAAGAACCAAAAAGATTGAAAAATCATGATACTTTTTCTTTCGTCTGTCGATTTTAGAACTGGTTCGGAACTATAGAATTTAGGACTAGTTCAGAACTATCGAAAAAGGGATGCAGCGGAGGGCAATTGACACTTCCTAGGACATCGTCATGTTAAATTCGCCAGTTGCTTGCATGCAAAAGAGATTTATTGCGAACCAGTACGTTGTCTAAATGTACTAGAAGCGCGCCAGTTCAGAACTAGAGATTTTCCCCACAGGGTAAAATCGCACACACGGAGGTACCATAAAGATGGAAAAATCATGATACTTTTTTCATCCGTCTGTGGATTTCAGAACTGGTTCGGAACTATAGAATTTAGGACTAGGTCGGAACTATCGAAAAAGGGATGCTGCGGGCGGCAATTGACACTTCCAAGGACATCGCCATTTTAAATTCGCCAGTTGCTTGCATGCAAAACAGATTTATCGCGAACCAGTACTGGGTCTAAATGTACTAGAAGCGCACCAGTTCAGAACTAGAGAATTTCCCTACAGGGTACACATCCCAAGCATGCATAGCGCCGCTCTGAGAGCGGTGACAATACACACATAGATACATAGTACACACATGTTTATCCGTACAAATCACGTGCTGTGGTGTTGATGGATATTAAACATTTGAAAAAAAATTTATATGGCTGGGTGTAGCTGAGTGCGCAAAGATGCTTGCCACAAGTTGTTAATATCCGGAGATGTTCCGGTTCGAATTGCACTGCAGGCAACATGCAAATTAAATTTTTCTTTTTAGGTTTTGTCTTGATTATTCACTTCACGGATGCTTTTTCAGTACGAACGCGGTCATTTTAATATGCGCGTAATTGAATTGAATATTTACCAATAAACAGTACTTTCGTTGACGTTTATAGTAAGATCAATTAAGTTTCTATTTGATTTTAATATTTTTTTCCCCTCATTGTAAGTAGCGTATTGCAAACAAACTTACCAAAAAAATGTCCTTAGCATTGATACCAAAGATTTAGTAAAAATTATTAATTAATATGGGATAGAATTAAATTTTATTTCCTCCACTATTTTGCTGCACATACCTTTATTTTTTTCAAAAAAAGTTTGCTTTAATTTTGCACATGCAGTCTTACATATTAATGTAACAAAACTATTGATACATTTATTTTAATGTAAATCCAAAAAAAACTCGAACTTAAAATATTCGATTAACCGAAAACGAACGAACCGAATAATCTAAAGTGAACGGTTAATCGTGTAGTCGACAGCTTTCGACTACTCGAATAATGCTTACCGATTAATATTAGTCGACTTCAGTCACATTCGAATAATTCGGTTAATCGATTAAGGCCCCCCCCCCCTTCCCTTTTCACACCAAGCTGATATTGTAAGTAAAGGAACATTAAAAAAACGCTTTAAGTTTGCAACTTCTTCAACTCTTTTTAAGATTTAATTAAATACAAAGATATTTCTAATAAATACATTGGTCGTAAATGGAAATTCCTTGAATGGACTGCGTTACGTTATGATATAAAATAAAACGGCCAACA